GTTCTATCATATAAAACAACATGTAAATGGATAAGGAAGAGAGAAGCAGCAAGCATGCGATTCCATTTGTCCGGCAAGAATTGGTTGAATTTTGTGGGAAGCTATGTATTGAAACACCGTGGCCACGGCTGGCAACAAAGGTGAGGTAGTACATAATAATCGTAACACCAGCCAAAGGAAACAATGAATACTAAGCCACTTTCCAAATCCGGTAACCATTATTTTAATGGGGGCAGAAGAATCTTTTCCTTAATTGGAAAGCCTCTTATATTGTTTAAGCAAGTCATTATCACTCCCAAAAATATTTTATTAAATGACCTATTGAAATGAGATATGATATTAGGACAATCATTTTATTTTATTTTTTTATACAACATGAGATATCATTAAAATAATTAATTTTTTAAATTTATATGAGACTCATAATATTAAATACATCAACTTATTTAGTGACATGTGAAAATTGTATAAAAAAATAAAATAAAAAAATTATCCCAATAACACCACCCTATTAAAATTCATTAAGTATGAACCATGAAAGTGTGTCTTGTAGGGTAGGTCTTAACTCTAAAATTTGAGTCTTAATCCAACACTCATAAAAACTTAAATATATGGTGTCAATATTAAAAATTTAAGGTGTATTCTTGAGATTATAAATAAAGAAATTAACATTGAAATATTTGTTAATTATTCAAAAAATTCTTGATTGTCCAATTAAAAGTTGGTGTTTAATTATTTTTCTTGATTGAGATTAATTTTTGTGATAGCAATATTTTCTCCTTTTAATATATATATATATATATATTGGAAATAAGCATGATACTCTTTCATTATCAGACAAAAATTGGAGAAAGAAACTCAATTATTTTCCACTATATTAAAAAAATTAGAAAAAGTAAGAGAATATGTAAAACAAAATAAATGCCAACCTAGAAAGCTTGCTATTTTTTTTTAATGATTGCATGCTATTATTTTTTTAATATATATATATATGCTTCTTTTCAAAATAGTGTTTCTTCGACTTACAAAAAATAGACTTTTTTATGAGAAAAAGACATATAACTATCATTCAATATTTCAATATATTAATCGAGCTCTCAAGCACCATGTAGAGTTAATTATAATATAGATTCAAAAGGCACCTGCCCTAAAAAACCTGAAGAGGCAATTTTATTCACATACCAAATTTGCATTAATGTTCACTACTAGATGGTGACCGAGTCAAAAAATTTCTGCTAGTGGCGATGTTGGATGTTTATATATATATAGTTGCATAATTGAGAGGTAATCTTTTATTCTTTAGTATAAAAAATTATTATTAAATTATTTAAATTATTAATTAATGGCATTAAATGTTAATGGTCAATCTTTTTAAATATTTGAGAATTATTCATACAAATAATAGATCTAATTTTACCCTCTTTTTTCATTGAAAATTAAGAAAAATTAAGATATCTTGATAATTAAAATATTAAAGATTAACAATGAAAAGACTATAATACCCTTAATAAATTAATACATGTAAAAATTTTATTAAAAATATTTAAATAATTTTATAATAAAATTTCATTTAAAATATCAAGACATTTTAATTTTTACTCCTTTTTTTTTTGAGTTACAAAAATAAAATTATCTCTCTATTATTCAACACACTTCATTTATATATCATATAATTACATTTTAAATCTCATACTTTTATTGAAAAAAGATTACCAACAAACTGATGGTGCTGGCTAATTTTGCCTAACTAATTAGCAGATAACAATGGACAAACATCTCAGGCGCCCGCTGCAGCTAAATGTTAGTGGCACAATACATCCAGAGGTTAGTAAATCTATGAGAAGACCCATACCCACCTCCTTTCCCAAAGGACTCAATCGCAAATTGGCATTTTCATCTTTGCCCATTTTTTGCTTGGAAACATAGTATCTTGGAACTTTTCTTTGGCCGTTCGTTTGCGCCCACAAACTCTGTTTCCACCAATCACAACTCGACACCGTTTGACCCCTTTCACTTCTCTTCTCTCTCTGCCATTTTTCTGTTTGTTTTTCCTTTTTCTTGGTAATATGCCATTTATCTGTTCTATGGTGTATAGATGCTCTTGCTCTCCATTGCGACCGGCACACAACCAAAATCCAAAAGGAGCTCCCTTTCACTTGCTCCGTCAACCTCTTTCTTGCTCTTTGCTTTTGCTTTACCTTCAAAGTGAATGCTCTAAAGCAAGAAAAGCATAGATTTTTAGCACCCCACCACTTCAATTCTCTGAAACATCTCTGTTTCCTCCATACTTTTCATGGGTTTTAGTTCTTTTTTTTATTTTCCTAGTGGGGTTTGCTTTCTGAGGTCCAAGTCCTCGAATTTGTTGCATAGTTGTGTTTTTTGTTTGGAATTGTAGTGTGGGTATTGGTCTTTTATACTGATTGTTGTTGTTTTGAGTGATTTGGGATCTGATATCAGGTCTAGGGTTTACCATTGAGGAACCAAAGATCTGCCTTTTGCCATTGTTTCTCGATTTTTCCTTGATTTTTGGAAAGTTGAGCCTTTTCTAGATTCCTCAATCTGTGCCCATGTGAAAAAGCTTACTCAGATTCTATTTAAATGCTTCGTGATTTGATGCTTCTTTGTTACTAAAAACCACAGTTTCTCTGCTCTCCCTATCTGGGTTCTCTCTCTTTGTGAACAATCAAAGAGAGAGAAAGCAAGTTTGTGTGTCTCCAAACGGCCAATATTTGGCATGCTATTGTTTTGCTTCATTTCTACAGGGCTCTGTAACTAGAAATGATGAATCAGGGAATCGAAATTCTCCCTCCATCCTCTTATTTGCAGAACTCCATCTGGTTGTTTCCGGAAAGCAAGGGGGCTAAATGGACTGTTGAAGAGAACAAGAGGTTTGAGAATGCTCTGGCTATATATGACAAGCCAACTCCGGATCGATGGCTCAAGGTGGCAGCCATGATTCCTGGCAAGACGGTAGACGATGTAATCAAACAGTACAATGTATTGTTAGAGGATATTTATGACATAGAGGCAGGTATATTTCCAAGAGCTGGCTGCCGTAGCTATTCTTTTACATTCGAGTGGGATGATAACAGCCAGGGCTCTGATGGATCAAGACAATACTCTAGTGCTGGTGGGAAGAGGGGCACAGGAAGCCGGCCTTCTGATCACGAAAGGAAGAAAGGAGTGCCATGGACTGAAGAAGAACACAGGTAATTGCTCGCTTTTGAAACAATGATCATTGAATTTTAAATTGTTTCTTGCTGTGTGCCTTGGTGATTGTGTATTTGTTTCTTTTAGAATTTTGGAAATCTTTGAATTCTAATTGAATAAGTATTTATAGCTCAATAACTGTTCCTTTTACATTTTGGATTTGCTATAGTTAAACTTGTTAAGTTCACAATTCTCAAACTGCTTCAAATTTGGTTGATTGAAGGACAATGGATATAAATGATGCTCCTTTCCCTTTTGAGATAAACCACCTGAATTATGGCAGAAACTTATATTTGGTGGCTCAAGTTTCTTGGTAGATTCTTGTAATTGTTTGAATCTTTATCTGGTAGATGACTTGTGAATGTTTTGTTCATGGATACACCTTTTAGCTTGTTTGGTTCTTTACTTTCAATGATTTAGTTTGGTATTCACCAATAGCTCATGATGGTTATAATGACAGGCAATTTCTATTGGGTCTTAAAAAGTATGGGAAAGGGGATTGGAGAAATATCTCTCGCAATTTTGTGACAACAAGAACACCAACTCAGGTGGCTAGTCATGCTCAGAAATACTTCATCAGGCAGCTCACTGGAGGGAAAGATAAGAGGAGATCAAGTATCCATGATATCACAACTGTCAATATACCAGACACGACTTCACCTGAAAACAATAGCCCCAAGTCTCCAAATCATGCTGCAGCAGTCATGCAGCCACAGCAGCAACTGAAAGTGGTTGGGGTGGGCAAAGAGCTGCTTGACTGGAAACTATCAGACAAAGGTGCAGGCATGGTCTTCAACCCTAGAAACAGTAATGCATTCGTGGCTCCTTTATGTGGGATTTCTTCTTATGGACCTAAGCTGGAAGAACAAGATCTTCTTGGAGGAACTCTTCCCGGACCTCAATTTGTATCCTACAGTCCTTTTCTCCAGATGCAGTCTATGCAACATCAGTAAATGCGGAGATGAAGTAGAGACAGTCCTGAAAATATTGATGTGATGAATCAAATCATTGATCCCAGCTTTCTTTATCAATCTCATATGTGAATATGTCGTTGTGAATGTTAGCTAGTCCACAGTTCTTAAACTCCATACGGAGATTAGCTAGTTTGTTCAAATTCTGGATCATTGAACCGCAAAGGAAGCTTATTTACATGAAATTGGAGCTCTTATTACTTAATAGTTGTGTGTATTGCCCTGCTGGTAGTAGACCTTATAATATAATGTTAAACATGAAGGTCAGTGTTGTCTGTCAAGTGTAACTAGTGTAACTAGTGTATGAAGGGTTAAGGCTTGATAATAAAATCCAAGAATTCAGATTGAGTTGCTTAATTTGTTATTAACCTTGAACTTCACAAACTATAAAACAGAACCCACAGGATCTTGTGGAGTAAACAAGGCTTCATATTGCTGTTGCTATCTATACTGCTTAATTCTAGTCACAATACATTTCTTTTTACCCAAAAAAAAAAAAAAAGTCTAATGACTGCTTCAGCTGATTCTCCTCTGATTTTACATCCTTGGTGTTGTTTTAATAAAATTTCTTCCCATTTTGTGAAATTTTATGGCATCTTAATTGACATATTGACATTCGAATCTTGACTGAACCTAGAAACAAGTGCCACTAGTTTGAGCATCTGATTCTTCATTCTCCCTTTTCTTATATCTTGGTTTCATTTGTTTTATGCCTAGAGTCAGAGACGATATTATTATACCATTAGCTCTTCATTTGTTGTTAAATGCTCTGAATTCCGATTCTTCAATTCAAACCCCTTTTCACAGTCATCATAAGAACCTGGACTCTATGATATTCAATTCTACAGTCTTCTAATCAAAGAAGGCATTTGGAAGCCTCTCACCTGTTGTCTGAAAATTAGGGCATCTTTTTCCTGATTTGGTGAGAATGGAATTTTGATTGAGGCAGTATGTGACTGAACTTTCTCTGTATTGCTTCCTCCTTGATTTTCCTGCTCCTTTCGTTCAGAGAAAAGATTCTTACAAATGGGTGGGCAAAGATGATAAAAATAGTATCTTTGCTTTTGAAACCACTCAAATTGCAAGAATCTTCTCTCTGGTCAAGTGCACTGGGAAATCTACATTAGCCTTGTGGTTTAGCATTAAAGTTGCTTATGCTCTTGGTCATGTGTTTATAATTCAATCCTTAGTCTTCATATACCAATATTAAAAAAAAAAAAAGAGCACTGGGAAATCATGATACTAGTTTATGATAACTGATCATCTACTAATATCAAACACGAAAAACAGAAATGTTAAGCCATAATGAGTACTTGACTTGTGCTTTTCTTGGTGAAAATGACCAAGTATACTTCCCCTAATGTTCAAGGGGGGTTATTTCAAGTCTCTCATGATTGATTCCACAGGACCTGAATGAAAACCAGGGGCGGAACTATTGAGGTTCGGATGAAAACCATGTAATTTCCAGACCCCATTTGATAAATATTCTTGTTTGTCATTTAGGTAAAATCCTGATTCAGAACAAGTAACCCCACAACTTTCTGTGTATGACTTCCCATCAAAAAAACTTTCTTTGTATGACTCTGAAATTTTCTTTTCCTTATATTCCATGCGTCCTTGCTGGCATTAGAAGTGTTGGTGCCCCCAGCAAGGTTCATGAAAAGCCCAGTGCCCAACCTTATTGCTTGCACACATAATTTTTGGTCCCACCCACTAGACAAACAGTTCAAGACCCAGCATGGAGCAATACATAAAAATACAGTACCACTTTTTTCCTCTCTGGTTAATGACAAAACCGTCCACTTTCTTTCTTTTCAAAAAGGACACCTTTTTGCAAGTTGCATAGGAAAGCACTCTGCATGCTTTATCCTTTTTTCAATTTTTCAATCTAACCCCCTCTTGCGGCTTAGGTCCATTTGAGACCACTCAAACAAACCCCAGACTAAGTTTCCCTTCTCTGTTTCTTCTCTCCTTAACACTGCTTTCTTCTCCTAAGTGCGTTTAATAGATGGAATGGTATAGGCCCCAAGGTTAACAGAAAGTGGGTGTTTTATCTTTCATTATTGAACACCATTAAAAAAAAAAAAAAAAAAACCCCAAGGTTAACAGAAAGTGGGTGTTTTATCTTTCATTATTGAACACCATTAAAAAAAGAAAAAGAAAAAAAGGGAAATGACAGCAAATTTTGTACCCAAACAAGTCCTATTACAAGGTATACCTGTGGAGTGAGGACGGCCAACATGGAGGAAACATATCATATGCATAAAACCCTGATATGTCCCCATCAGAACTTAGAAGTTGGATTTCATTTGTCTGCTTTAGCTGAAATTCTCCAAATCCCAACTATGAAAAGTTGTTGAGTACAATTCATTTCAAAGGGAAATAAGCCGTGACCTGTGTTCTTTTTTCCTTTTTCTTCTTTCTTCTTTTTTTATATTTCTTATGTTAACAAACAAACAACTCATAATAAGCTATACAATAAGGATAGTCCTCTTATATCTTAAATCCTCTTCAACTGTATCAAGATTTGAGGTTGAGACTTTCGGTTTGGAGTATTGAACATTTTTTCCGTTAAACTGTGATCTTGTTAACTGTTAGCGTGAGGCTGCACTCGGTCCAGTTCACAATCTGGTTGTTTTCATCATCTTGTCCTCGTGAAGGTTCTTCCATATCCAAATAAAAGTAGTTCTGTTTTTAGAATAATACAAATGAAGAAGACAAAGAAATTGATATTATTTGGACTAATACAAGGTTCTTCCAGGTCCTTGTTTTCATCATCTTGTCCTCATTTTAATTTTCTTTCAAATTACAACGTGATGTTATTTGTGTTCTAGAGGTCATTTTCTATAAATCAAATCACATCTAATAATGAGTTATATAACATTTCATCATTGCTAGAAACTCTTGATATCAAGACTCAAAATTTGTTTTTTTTTTAAGAATAATTTAAAATAATTTTCTTTTACCTAACTAACTATTCATATGTCATTTTAACTTAAATTCAAGACCTTTTATTTAAAATTCCTTGTGACCTATTTAAATCATCAACCAAACTCCTAAGTGAACAGAAGAAATGATTTTTTTTTTAAAAAAAAAAAAAAAAATCAAAGTAGAGATGCCTTCTTTTTGAAGATGCGATTGCTATAGAACAAGTGTTGTTCTGGTCATGGGTTCAAAAACATTTGGGCTTCAAAAGTAGAGCCTCTGGGTTTACTTGACTGACCCAAATTTGCTTACTGATAAATTAAGGGCCAAACCCCACCTTGGTTTCTCAACTCGGCAACAACAGAAATTTAGCAAGTCATTTATTCCATCTATCTCAAAAGTAATAGAAGATATTTTATTTTATTTTATTGGAAAACAGTTGAAGTCTGCTAGGCTTAAAATATATATTAGGATGATTAACAAAAATGGAGAAGAAAAATTAAGATTTTTGGGATTTAATATTTCAGATTTCATGACAATATATGGCTATATATGAATGAAAAATTGACAAGAACAGAAACTACATTTGATTTTATCCTCAAAGCTAAGTACTGACTATGAACAAGAAGCGAAAATGATTGTTTTAGTGAAAACAAAATCGTATTTGTCGCTTATACTAAATGCAATGTACAGAATTTCCACAATGACCAACACGTGAGATACTAAGTAGTAGTTTTCCACAGAAACCTAGGTTTTGACCACACGGATAATTAAAACCTTAATAGGATGACCAACTTTTTTGACTCAAGTGGACAATAATTGGAACCGAGCCTTTAACCCCAATAGTTTAATCCCAAACCTTAAGTGCTTGGGTGAGGTAATTAGAGTTTTGGGCTCTACCACCATCGTGAACTCCACTAAAAAGCGGTCTGATGGCCGCGCGTCTCATTTGAGGGAGTGAAATGTTCACCCGGTTTAAGATCGAATTCCCAGTTGCTAACAACTAAATTATACTAACTTCTTAATCATTACCTTTGTAAAAAAAAAAAAAAAAAAAGGTGGACAATAATTGAAGTAAAAAGTTGGAAACAGAAGGATGCTAACGAATCATGAACATTAATTCTAAGGAGAAACATTGTTACAAATATAAATATAAATAAATATATCTATATGAAGAAAAGTAATTTGTAGATCATCCTTTTAAAATTTGTTTAGAAGATAAAGTAATTTGTAGATCATCCTTTTAAAATTTGTTTAGAAGATACGTTTAGAAATTTATTTTCTAATTAATATTTTTAAAAATCAATTATTGAATTGAAAGTTCTATTTATATAGATAATATATATTAATTTTTAAATTATTTTAATTAATAAGCTTGATAATTTCATTGATTATAAAAAATTTAATATTGTTAAATATATGTTAGTAAATAAAGTTTTTTGGATTAAAAGGTTGTAAGTGTTAGATTAATATAAAAATTGATATGCATAATTTCTATGAACAAAACCTTTAATCTAATAATTAAAATTTAAAAACATTAATTAAAAAATAAATTTTTAAACAAATCCTCCTAAAACAAATTTGAACATATGACTTGCTTTAAATTATATATATATACATATATATATATATATATATATATATGAAAATAGTACGTATCAATTAGAAGTTGCTAGACCCGCATGTATCCTCCTAAAACAAATTTGAACATATGACTTGCTTTAAATTATATATATATACATATATATATGAAAATAGTACGTATCAATTAGAAGTTGCTAGACCCGCATGTATTCTTGTAAATCTGAAATATAAATCATGGTTACTCACAAGTTACATAAAATTACTCAAGCAGGTGATCTTTTAAATGATGGGAAAAAAATACCCCTTTTTATTGCTCACTTAAATTTTTAGAAGGTAAGTTCTGATTCCAGTTGTTAGATTCGATTACAATCAGTGTACCAAGACAAGTTAAGTTTTATCTCAAAATAACAAAAGGCTAACTTGAACTCGCATTCTTGTATGAATGAGGCATCACTACCTCATTACTTGTGTTATCCCGTGTGGTTATATGGTTATTAAGTCTTTTTTGTTAAGGTCACTAAACTTATATTTAATTTGATATATATTTATAGTTTTTTAAAAATATATAATTATAATACCTAAAAAATTAATTTAAAATTTGATTTTAATTTATTAAATAATAAATATTAATTATTTTATTAATTATTAATAATCAAATCAAATAAAATCATTATTTTTTTTATTAATTTTAATGATCTTAAAGAAAAAAAAAAATTAGTGGTCACCACCGCACCCTATCTCGTGGTATCAGACTATCAGGTGATTTGCATGCAAGCACTAGCCGCCTCTATCCTGTTGGTTCAACAGTCAGCGACACAATAAGCACGCTTGGAT